TGTGATGTGTGGTGTTCGCCGTGGTACACACGCACGCACGCATGTACGCACGCGCGCGCACACACGCATACGTGTGTGCGCGCTACGCGAAGGCCATGTCCGACAGACTGTAGTCTGACGGCTGACACTTTTGCGAAAGGTAAACAGGCGAAAGAAGACGATTTGCTACTCACGGTTTTTCGCCGGCGGGCCCGCCGCTCCCACACGATCTCCCCGGTCGGGTGCACGCCTCGGTAATTATTTGATTTTGCACGGCAACATTATTGTGCGTCCACTAAAAAAAAGAGAAGGAATGAGGGAGGAGGGAGTGAGAGGGGGAAGAGTGAGCGAGAGAGGAGGAGCGCGCAATGATCGGGCGAAGGCAAGACGGAGATGGAGATAGACAGACAACAGATAGATAAAGAGAGAGAGACACGGGCGAAAGAGAGGAAAAAGTGAGACAGAGAGGAAAACGAGGAGAAGAGAGAAAAAGACGAAGTGTGAGAGGAGGAGAGAAAAAGACACACCGAGAGTACTCGCTTGATCAAAAGCACAATTTTCGTGACGTCATCGGCGGTCGGGCATGCGCGAACGGATTTCGGTGATTTTCCACGCACGACGAAACACGTGCGACAAGTCGGTCGACGCCACTACTGCTCCCGCACTCGGCACTACATATCGCTAAGAAACGCGCGGCATTATCGCGTCGAAGCAGCGGCACGGGCTTCCACAGATACCGAGCGCGATTCGCGAGAGCCACCGCGGCTGCCGACATCTATCCATCCACTCCCACTTGTTAAGTGACGTACACTGACGTCATCGATAGTTTACCTTGAGGCATGACATTGAGCAGCAGGTCGGCCAATCGCCGTCCCGCAAAAGTTCCCGCGCGCACCGGCCACGAGAGAGCGGGGGCGCGCGCGACTGTCGATTCGCATTGCGCGCGACGGCCACGACGACGATAGCGATCTCCCGCGGCTGGGGCGCCGCGATCGCATTTTCGATTTCGCCCGAACGCGCGCGTTCACACGTCGCGTTCCACATAGTCGGTATAAATCAATTTCCTTCGACTTCATACGTCTTTCCTATTAAAAATAAGAAACCAACTTTCCGAGATCTCTACGATTTGGAGGCACAGGATACTTTTGCCCGAAATCAACGATTCCAAATATATAAATTTTGTCATTCTCTTACACTGAAAGAAAAAAATGTTACCCTAGTAAATATCAACTAACAGTGACATTACAAATATCATAATTTCTCACTCAACAATGTAATTGTTACATAACATTCATGTTACAGTGGGTTTAAATTGTTGAATAGGAAATTGTGACATTGATGTTATGTTACCCCAATGAAAAATTTTTCATACATAATTATGTAAAATTATATATAATTTTAGATTATTATATATAATTATGTATGAAATTTGTCCATACATGTTAATACATGTTACTTATATATAATCATATATATGAATCCCTAGTAAATATCATATATATAAGTTCATATATATAATTATATATATGATTCCATATATAATTATATATAAGTGTGTATAATTATATATAATTTTATATGATTATACATAATTACACATTAATATACAATTATACATAATTATATGGACAAATTTTATATATAATTATGCATGAAAAATTTTTTATTGGGACTGATAGTTGGTATTTCTACGAATTAGGACTAGTACCCACCGAGCAAATATTTTTTTTATTTTTTTTCTTAGAATGTATGTATTCTGCTATCAATCTCAAACATATCCTTGATTTCTATTCATATATAAATTCTGCAGAAATTGAAATTTATATATAAAATTCCGAAAAAATATCGGTCTGTCGTGCCACAAAGCTTCGCTCTGTGTGCAGCGTAATGGAGTAGCATGAGTAAATAAATAAAATAAGAGAGGAATACATAAAAGTGTGCGATGTGGACTTACGCTAAAATTATAAAGCGTCGCTTAAACTTAGAATACCACGCTCAGCATGCTACGTCGTATCGTTGCAGACTAATCGCTTTCGTGCTCGAACTGAAAGATGAAGTCGATATCCATGCGACCATGATTATTTCAGAGTATCCCCCGCGGGGCGAATGCTACCCTTCCGCTCTTAATAGAGGACAAAGTGCACTATTAACATATCGCAATCTTATATCGTTCGTACAGAGAGAGAAAGAGAGAGAGAGAGAGTTACGATACTCGTTGAGTCGTTATACTCCTTTCAGAAAAGAAGGCGTTAATTACGAGAATAACACGGCGAACAGTTTTTACAGCGATACTTTAAATTGCCTCAGCGAAACTAACTGGACGCTCTTTGTCCTCTCTTTGCTCAATGTTTGCAACATTTACGAATAGTATTTCGCTCCGCATTGTTGAAATCTCATGCATTAGTGGATCATCGTTATCCTCTCGACGGAGAAAAGACGATAAATATTGAGTAATCCGAGCTATCAACATTATTTTATTATCATACTTCACGTCTGCAAATACTATTCGCAAATCTCTCAGCAAATATCGAGCGTCGCGCGTATCTGCTCGCTTCTACATTTACACCTGGTTTTTCATTCTCTGGTTAACCTGCGGTTTAAACTGTGGGATTGTGGCACATAAAAAACTTAAACAGCAAAGTGTAAACAATATAAAAATTGATCAATCACAATTGATCGATAATTCTTTGATCGTAATGAGAATAATTAATAATGATTTGTCAATTTTCATACTACTTATGTCTTACTACTTAAGTTTTCTATGTGCCATGATTTAAAATCCAGACCACAGGTTAACCAGAGAAATCGGGTCTTAGAGGATCCCAGAAAACATCAACGTCCGAAATAGATGTCTAATCCCTATTTTTTCAACGTCGTTTAAATCCTAAGCTACGTTTAAGTCCTTGTTTGAATGGAGTTTACACTCGGATGAAGATTTAATCGACAGAATGGTTGGCAGAAACGGTCGTTATGTTCGTTCGTCGAAGCATTCGCAAAGTGTATTGGTTTAAGTGAAGAAAATCCTTAATGCGCTCGTATGCACATGTGTGCGATGAAAAAGACATTGGCGACGTTACTTATACATTCTAACTAATTACAGGCTGTCTGAGGCGAGCCGAGTCGAGCCGTTTCGTCGCAATGTGCATGCATACGCCACCACGTCATTCACACCGGCGTGATGTAAGGCGCGGGCGCTAAACTGCGCTCGTGTGCCGTGCTAACTAGTAATAAACACAAATATCCACACGGAACCTCGGGCGCGCGCGGCGACATTTATATGCATAATAATAACAATAATAGTAATCCGGAGATCGCGCAAAAATCCGCGGCGCACGCAGGTATACGCGCCTGTTCGAAACACGAGAGCGGATATGTTATCGCGATACTCCCGACACCTTTTCTTTTTCCAGTGGTAGAGGCAAAAAAGAGCGGAACTTACTGCGCGTACAGTTCGTGACAATGCAGGTCTCGTTGACACCGGATCGTACAACACATCGTAACAGCCGGCAATTTCATACCATCAGGTCATCAGAATGATGACAATGTTCTTCTATGTAAACAATGCTGTGTAACTATTATTATATCGGCGATAATCCACTCATAAAAATGGTGCACCCCAGATCGAAACTCGAAAGCCTTGAAGTCGACTTGAAATTATTGATACTATTGTCACCTTTTCTGATTTCTTCTCTTTAGTTTCAGAAATTTTCGGCCTAACTGCCGTGGCGTAAAGACATGTTTGAACATGTTCAGGCGTGATCTGTGATTTTTTGGAAAATATCTTGGAATTATTTTCAAGGAACATCAAGGATTAACTGGAGAATGACATTGCCAAATTAATACAATACACATCTTTTAACGTTGAGTGACATTGTGGCAGAGGCCTTATTAGGCGCCTGTAGCCATATGAAAGAAAGGGAGAGAGGTTAGTTTCAGATTGGTTTCGATATGCATTGTGCGGCTCATTTCGCTCAGTACGAACAATTGGTTGTGTTCAGCAGAGAAAGCTGTTTCGCTATTGTTGCAAACCTAGGTATATGATCTTGGATTCAGCCAAGATTAAAAGCACACACCAATCAAAGTCACGAGTTCTATCGCAACTAGTTGCAAAGCTTTCTCTGCTGAACACAGCTCTTTGCCATTGCATGTATTTTGACATTTGGACGATAAGGGGTTAGTGTTCACGATATATGCTAAATGGCACTCTCCCGTGATTATTTAGATCTCGGGATTCAATAATTGAATTAAAAATTGGAGCAAGAATTTGATGAAAGCTTAGGAATAAATCGTCAGGGGAAAAATATAATAAATATTACGAACTGTCTTAACTGAAAGAGTATTTAGACTGCTTAACGCGCCACCGCGAGTAGCCGACAATCTAACCTTATTTGTGTGTACAAATAAACGTATTAGAAGGTATCTTTTCCTTCTATTCGGTGAACCTTCCATTCAGTGTTTCGAAACTTGCATTATCTCAATTTTCCTCGTAGAAAATTACGAGCATATCTCATCGTATCAATTTGTGAGTTAATACATTATAAAATGCTTAGGTTATCGCGTGCCACGCTAGGAAACAAGCGAGGACGACAAAACAAATGGAAGACGAATGTGTATGGCGCAGGTCGCGAAAAATTCAGGGAGATGTTTACGATTCTATTATAAATTTCTCGTGAGACGAAAATAATCAAACCAGTTCAAAACAATTCCAAACTCTACGTACACACGCAGTTCGTCACTGATAATCTTTTCGTATATGGTGAATAAATCAAACATCGGAAAATGAACATTAGACCTCTTGTGAGTATTACAAATCGCTAGGAAAATATAATTCTTATGTGTGATAAATTATTTTATTATAAAATATCATAAAAATATCTAATATCTATCGAGGAATCTGATATTCTCCAAATAATCCTCGAATGTTCGAATATTTTTTATTATTTAAAACGTTAATCTCTTTTGCAGTTTTGTAAATAATATACGAATAAAAATAAATTGACAGAAATTTATTCAGTAATTACAGAATTAGTTGCACAATTGGATTTTTGTTCGTTACAATTGAGGATTGTGGAATGTTATCAAATAATTTTTAGAAATGCATAGTTTTGGAATTCTTCATAATGTTGTGTTAAAAGACATTTGCTAATATATTTTGTCTAACTATATGTGAAAACTATATACGGTTATAAAAATTGATCTCTGTTTGAGACGAATGTCACTAGAGTTAGTCTGCCGATTGAATGTCCCTAGAGGCCAATAGACTCCATGTGGGTTCTGTCAAGTGTTACGTACGCATATCTGTTACTTCTGTAACTCAAACTCTGTACTGATTTATCTATTATTATTAAAATTAAATTACCAAGTATGTTAGTAAAAACATTCTGGTGCACTGGAAATAACAAAGGAACACATGCATCATTACATAACAGTGTATGATAAAAATGTTCTACATAAACATCGTGTTTAGAATATTTGTGTTTAATTTTAAGGATCAAACTTGCTTTTCCACGTAAGACCAAAATTAACAGAGAAAGTGCATAATTTATATGTTTTATATATTATTATAACTTACATTTTAATGTATGATTGAGATAATAAAATATAGGTAATAAAGTGTATTTTATATGTATCAGTGTTATTAAGTATCATGACTCGTCTAATCTTACCCCTATATATATTAAAATTGTTATAGACATATCAATAAGTCTGATCGAATTAGTCTTTGAGGTTTACATATTTTATAAGTTATTAATATGTATATATATATATATATATATATATATATGCATGGTTAATAAATTTTCTTTATATAATCCAAGAAAATTATTAATTACTCTAAAAGATATGTATCATATTACATCCTTTTTGTACAGGTGCAGTAGTAAATAAATGATAATGGCACACACCAGTAAAAACTATGAAACATTCAAAGACGCAAGATTAAGACAGAATCGGCAATATAACATTCCAGAGGATAAGAGTGTAGCACAAACAGGCTTAGACATATTATACACATCTCAAGTGGACCGTAACATAACTGATGAAAATGTGGAAAAAAAGATATCGTTGTTGAAACACTTATTGGAAAAAGATTTGAAAGCTGCTGACTTTAAGTGGTCTCTTTTTGTAGCAGCGTCCAACACTTATCGCTATGATACTTGCTTAAAACCATTTCCACCTATGTATATTAAAAATGAATGCAAAGATATTGAAGCATTGGTATAGTTTCTGATATGTGTGTATGTGTGTGTATGTATGCGTAACAATATATAATAATCATCTATTATTTCTTCTGCAGAGGAGAGCCATAGAGTCAGTTCCTCCTTTGTCCGTGATATTCAAAGAACTCAATACAGCTGGTGTGTATGAGAACTATCGTGAGATAATAGAATTATTGTACTGGGTATTGTTAAGATTAAGAGATCCACATATCAAGAGCGTACAGAAAGAATATGTAAGTAAATGTTGTCTGTAATGTAAAGATTTTTCTGAAGATCAGAAAGACTCGCTACCTCACATGTGACACAAGTTCTCAAATAAACCAAATCTTATATTACAGTACGATTGGGTACTGAAGAAAGTACCACTGGAAATGCCAGCTGCAGCGCCAAATCTTATATTCCAAGTAGAGAATATAAAGCAATCTACGGCAGAAGAAAAGTGGAAATCGAGCAGAAATGGTCATTCGACATTTTATGCGTACCATGGAACACGTTTGGAAAATTTCCATTCTATCGTGCATTATGGTTTGCAACAGAACATGTGCAAGGTACCGTGATTAACGTCGAATGAAATTTGATATATGCTTTTGATATTTCATCGTATGTTCTCTTGTTATTTTATATAATTATAAAATTACTAAATATTCTTGCATAATTCGTTGTCAGAGGTCGGAATTTGGCAAAGGAATATATCTTTCGAGCGAATTAGGAGTGAGTTTACCCTACAGTCCTGTAGGTTATGGATGGGGAGGTAGCATTCTTGGAAGTGAGATAAGTTGCATAGCGCTTTGTGAACTGATCAATCATCCTGATATAAAGAGAGGAGACTCCAGTGAGTGTATCATTGTTGAATAGTTATAGTTTAGACAGTTTGAAAAGCAAGTGACAGTGTTATTTTTTAGATAATGATGCGCAAAACACATTGGAGGATTCCATGGGTGGTAGAATACCAGACAAATATTATGTGGTAACAAACAGCGACTTAGTAAAAGTACGTTATTTGCTTGTCTATGCTCAAGATGTCCAAACGACCAGGTAAACTAATTAATTCTATTGTATTTACAAACTTAGAAAATACATTATTCAAATTTTACACAATCACGATCGCTACTGTAAGCAACATTTTGATATTTCAGCTCTACCGATAATTCCGGATTGCTCTCATGGTTCAAGCAACACAAATTGCTGACATTCGTACTCGGTTACGTCGTGCTACTAGCTTCAGTTGGACTAACACAGAATAAACAAATAGAAAAATATTATAGGTTATTTATCCAAAAAGCAGGACTTGAATGAAAGAAGAATAGAGTCAAAACCTTGATGTAAAAGAAAGGTTATATGTACAATATTTTCATAAAATTAGAACGTGTGCCAAAGTCTGCATGTACTGTAAAAGGCTATATATAAGTCATTTATAAGCAAATGCACGAGAAAAAACGAAGAAAGGATATTTTCTAATCTTTTTCATAATAGGTGAAATATGACTTGGAGAGTAGTTTCTCTCCTGAGACTTTTATTTTCGGTATTTATAGCCTTTTACATGTCAAATCTTTGCTTATAATGTACTTATTCTATGTGAGAAATATTATCTTTTATATGCATTTTTCGAATACATATATATAACGGGATAAATATATTTTATGTAACAAGATATCACAAATTACACAGTTTTAGAAAACATTTTTATTTCTATAATTTTCAATATCGCGAGAGTATGATAGGAAAGTTCTCAGTGACCAAATAATCATCTTCAAACACTATGATAAGATTTACCTCAAATTCTGGAAAGAGATGTCATATGATGTATATTAGAAATGTAACATAAATTTTTGTATGTTTTAAACATCAAAAAGATAGAACAAGACAATGCGATAATGTCCTTACCAACTTTGAAATTGCTTGTGCTCAAAGTGGGACATGTAAATAATCTTGGAAATATCATGTAGATTGGAATAGCAAGATTCGTGCAAGCGTTGCCTTCACCAATTTGTATATTTTGTATCTCCGTCGCTGCAAAAATACATTCTCAGAAATTCTCACTGTATATCACTACAGTATACTTTTCAACCCTTTGCAGTAAAGGATATTGTCAATATAAAGAGCAAATCTAAGTAAAAACACAAAGGGTTAATTTACATTTTCATGAATCACATAGTTTTTACCATCTCTAGAGTATCCTTCTGCACACCCACAAGTTTCTACCCTGACTAATTGCAACTCTATGGACTTTATAACAGCCTCACAATATTCAATTATCACCTTCAAGTACAGAATTGATGTAAGTGAAAAAGTACAGAATATTGAATAATAATATGTGAAGAAAATTATATACTTCTCCTGTCAAGGGCTCAGAGATTTTGCAGTGCAGGGAATCTAATCGCCCTGAAATGCAAAATCTTGGCACATTGGTTCTGTCTCTAGCATTTTGCAGAGATTCCGGCATTATTTTAAAGAACACGATTTTACTGTGCTCCTTTTCTACCTTGATATTTGATTTATCCTCAACTATAAATTCCAATGACTTGCTCACATCCTTTGCGAGAAAGCTTCTTTTTATATCACAGCGTATCAAGTACTGTATATTTACAAAAACGCCATGATAAGTTTCATAAAGGGATTTATTTCCTCTTGGCTTCAATGGTAATTCGAAAGGTATCTCTGTTTTGCCACTTGGAATCTTTCCTGACGGAGCAACATCTAATGTGTATTGCACTAATTGTATGGGCTGAAAACAAGATTTGTCTGTAAATTATCATCACTATACAGTTGAATGAAAACAATTGTCTTAGTGAAAACCTTATAAAATATTTGTGCAACTGGTTTTATAACCCAATTCATCCGATTTAATATAAGAAAATTACAACATATACTAACCTTAACAGAATTATAAAATGCTTCAAAAATCCCGACATTTTTCGAGCTAAGTTGTAAATTGACCGAACCTTCCATAGTAAGAAATATCCCATCGTGTTTTACGTCCGAATTAGTTTTTAACAATATTAAACCAGCAACAACCTCCTACAACAACAACATAACCTCAATTCCAACTCGCATACTCGTAAAAAAAGAAAACTGTACACAACAAGCAACCGACCCCCTGGTGATATATTTTGCTCGCGCGTTTTAATTTTATGTCTATGTTGATAGACATTTTGCGGATTGTATCAAAATTTTTTTGACACTATTTGATAACTGTCAAAATTAACAATCGTATCTGTCAAAACGAATCACACGCCATCGATAGCATTGTCAATGTGTCCGACGTATGCGACATTTCTCAACTGATTCGAAATTTTTATTGTACTTTTACGATTATAATTAAAGTTCCTCAATCAAAATCGCCGCTGCTAGACTTTCGTAAGGACTTTAAAGTTTCGGAAAACAGCTGTCGATCAGCTGTTGATGAAAGCTGTGTTGCCATCCGTGTTTGTTTGCAGAACAATTTAATTGTCGTTCAAACAATTCATGCGACATTAATCCGCTCACTGAAAAGATATTAAGAGAGACAAATAATACATGTTAGGAAGCATATACACGTAGAAATCGTATAAATATTTATATAATGAGGCATCTAGTATACAATACTTTAGTATACAAATAGGACATTGTATTAAAAGGTTAGTATTTCCTACGTGTCTTTATTTGAGATACGCAGTCTCAGTATAGTTCTTATAAGATTTGTAATCTCGGGAATTCAGGTCGTTCAGTATGACGTCATCATTATCGTTGATATAATTACTTAAGAAATTTCTCGAAAAAAAAATGAGACGACTGAATAAATAAAATGAAAAGCAGTTAGTGGCCGAAATAAAATCGAAAAAATAATTCCTATCCTAGTAAGATATAATCTGCATTTTTTCTCATTATATAATTTATTTCATCGTTTTTCATTTGATTCAGTTGCTATGTAGTTTTCCTTTTCTTGTCCTTTTTTAAAGGATTCTCTTGGTTAATCTTTAGAAACGCTGCCTTTGAAAAACCTGAATTATTTCCGGACCTTGCCCATGCAAGATGGAGCTAAAAACGTTAGGATACGTGTACGTTACATCCAACAGACGACCAATCAGACAGCCGCATTCACGCGCTATTTCCCCTGGAAGCACGCGTGCGCGCCGACCTTCGGGTGCTCGGCCAAACAAATTCAAACCGACGGAGTCGTTACTTCGAGAGGTGAATCCAGCCCGGCGTTGCTCGGAAAAGGCCGTTTAAAGGCTCGCTTCTCGAAGGAAGGGACGCAAATACGTGTTCAGCGTCGCGAAAATATCGTTTTCTTACTTCGTGCGATTGACAATGGCAACAAAAAGTCGGACTACAGTTAAGGTGAGCGTGTGATTTAGTTTTTGGCAGAAGCGTATTTTTCCTCTGCGTCAACCTCAACTGGTCGTTGCTATCAGACATCTTTAAATGTCCTTCGCATCCCTGAAAAAGATACTCGCCATGCTTTCACGGTTGCTCTTAATCCTACGGGATTCTGGACGTCTGTACGCCCAGGTTCTCGTGACAGTATACGGTTTCGTGATTCTTTGCGAATTCTTCTCTAACATTTTTCCCCTCCCACTCAGGCGTTTACACCCCGCCCTCAAGCGTAATGTAATCCCCTTATGTTAAAAAGAGGACGTTAGATTTCAAGTTCATTTGCTTTATTTATCGTTCTCGTTAGTGCGTCCTGATTTTTGCAAATTACATAAATTATGTAGTAATAAATTTGCATGTGCTAATTTGTCTTCCTTGAATGTCTTCCCATGGGGAAGATACTTGTGCATAGTAATATGATTGTAATAAAAAGGAAAAAAATTACAATAAGCCATTCAGACTAATATGAGATTTTATCACTGGTATATCATAGTATATCCATTTTTGCAAGCTGTAGAAATATTGATAAAATATTGTATATCTTAGATGTATATACTTTATTATGCTAAAAAGTTTTTTGTTATGATACAGATTGCGGTTAATCAAGAAAATGTTAAAAACCTCAAGCCTTCGGTAGCAATTTTACCAACAAAAACAAAAAGACCAGTACTACGTGAGATAAGCAACAAGGTCAACACGTTAAGGGGCGTAGAGCCTATAGATAGGACTAGTTTATTGCAAAAGGATAAAAAGATGGTGACAGTGGCAGCGCAGAAGCGGCAACCTGTGAAACGTGAAGCAAAAGAGAAAATTCCAGAGAAGTCACCACAAAATACCAGAGAAGTTCAAGTTGTAAAGCCAGTCGTCAAGACTGTAGTCCAGTCCAGTGAAAGCAATGTATGCGATGAAGATCCCACATCGATGAACATTTCTGATAAAAAGGTAGAAACACCCAAGGCATTTTCGTCAGACTTGATTTATGAGGACATTGATGAACAAGATGAGAAAAACCCCATCCTGGTTTCTCTTTATACTAATGAGATACATGAATATCTAAGAGGATTGGAAAATAAATATCCCATTGAGAGAAAATTTCTAACGGGTCAAGAAGTTACTCCAAAAATGAGGAGTGTGCTAGTAGACTGGTTAGTCGATGTTCATCAACAATTTCGAATGATGCAAGAAACCTTGTATCTCACAGTCGCAATTATCGATCGCTTTTTACAGGTAAAATGCCTTAACAAGCTAATAAAATTCCTAGATTCACTAATCAATTGATACATTAATAATGCTTGCTTAACTTGGTCTGTGCAGGCTTACCGAACAATAGATAGGAAAAGATTGCAGCTAGTAGGTGTAACAGCAATGTTTATCGCTAGCAAATATGAAGAAATGTATTCTCCGGATATAAGCGACTTTGTATACATAACGGACCAAGCGTACACAAAGTCGGACATATTAAAAATGGAAATGGTTATCGTAAAACACTTGAATTTTTCTTTCGGCCGACCACTGCCGCTACATTTCCTGCGAAGATACAGCAAAGCCGGAAAGGTATGCATAAGCATTATTCATATCAATTTTAAGCTTTTCTCGCTCAAGTTGAATATCTTGGCGCGCACATGTGTATTAGACTGTTGGCTCTCAGTCAACGCTTTCTGTTGTTTTAAAGGCGCTCCCTATACACCATACCATGGCGAAATATTTCCTGGAGCAAAGCTTAATTCACTACAATATGTGTCATTATCCACCTAGTCTCATCGCCGCAGCAGCAATATATCTAGCGTTTATGTGAGTGATAAAGAACGAATTACCTTATGTGTATTGCGATTAAAAATGATAGCAGCAAGTAACAATGACCACTTCTTACAGAATTATCGGTAATGATGAGCAAGACGAAGGCAAAATAATCTGGACAAATACTTTAGCACACTACAGCACCTATTCTAAGGACGATGTGTTACCTGCCGTACGTGATATAGCTGTCATAATAACTAACGCAGAAACAAGTAAATATCAAGCTGTAAGGAAGAAGTACGTTCATTCGAAATACTTTGAGATCAGCGTTCGGCCAGAACTCAAGTCACCAACTCTCTTAGCCATCGCGAAAGCGAACGATAATGCTTTCATATAACGCTTGTTCGTGACATTAAGATGTTGAGATATTTTTTCAATAAGGTATTTGTCTATTGAATGTTATGTGAATGAATCAGACTGTGAGTGTTGGTATGATACACGAGAGATTGCATCATTATCCCGATAAAGTATAAACTTTATCACAAAGTGATGAATGTCGCGTGGATTAGACATTTAATACACGAATTACTTATTGAAGAGCACAATCTCGAGTTTATAAACTACAAACTAAAGAACAACGAGGACGTATTTAGAGATTATATACAGAAGTTTGTTAGTGTAAACATTAAAAAATTTAGTCAGGTAATACTGATGGACTTTATTTTGGACTGCCATAGAGGTACTAGGTACAGCAGAAATCATAAAATATATCTTTTATAATAGAGTATTAAGTAACTTTTAGTTTTTATTCTCCCCTAGCTGATTATACAAATATTTTAATTTTGATATAAGTCCTACAACGATACTTTTAATGTTGCCATATGAAAATATGAGAGTATTCCAAACGTATACTTCAATTCTTTTGTGCTTTTATATTCATATTTTCTAAAATATAGTCTATTTTCAATTAGTATGAGAATACATTCTTAGTTTCGTCTGCACTCAAAGTTCAAATGGAAGTTGTATAACAATTATGTACAAAAATTAAAAATAAACACTAAGGATCTTTCTGGAGTTATCTATCTATTGTTCACGAACTTTTTTAGTGTCGTGATAAAAAAAGAATTTTGCAAGATCCTACTATAAGGATATATCATTATTTTATCACTATCATATTTTAGCACTATGTTCTATCAGTTATATCTTATAATGTGTACATAAGAAATTTACTAGATTCGCTAAAGTGTATGATCATAATTGATTTTGTACTGAAAAATTAGTTAAGAAATCCTAATATAAAAAAGATATGAATCCTAAATTTTATTTCGACTTTAATTCAATCTCTAAATCTGAAATATATATATATATATGATTGTATCAGAGTAAAGTATAAGTGGCTGTTATGTATGCTTAGGTTTTGTTATCCTTAAATTTAATATGTAATATCGTGATATGGATACAAACATAATGATGTAGATTAAATTACTAACTATACACCCGTACTTTTGTAAATAAAAAGTGAAATCACCACACATAACTGCTGCTTCTATGTTTTAATTTCAACCATTTATTATGTTGCAACGATAAACAGTCTTTTACAACATATACTGTATCACTTATAATATATTGTGTAATTTACGGTAGAGTAGTACTTTCAAACTTATGTTGTATGTACGGCACGAAGTTAATTTCAGGCGGTGGATACGTTACACACATATCTAGAAAACGAAACGCACGTTAAAAAAAACTGATAAATATAAAAGGAACATCGATTTAACATTAGGAGTGATATTTATAATCTGCTCTTACATTTCAGATTGTCTTAAATCTCAAGATCTATAAAAATCGTTTTTTTTTTAATAACTGCATATATCAAGATGAATTTAAGACGATCTTATAAATATAAGATCGGACCATGAATAACGCTCTATGTTTTACTACCAAGGACCCACCTGCTAATCTAAGGTACATGTTCATTTCTGGATGTTGTGCTGATGTGTTAGTTGCTATTTTTTCCTGCAAATAAGTTACGAATCATAAATAAATACATACAAAAGCGTAATTGAAGGAGTCACTGGGATATTTCTAAAGACGATCACTCACTATCTCGCTTAAACTTGTAGGCGCTGTTCTGTCCCAGATCTCAGTTCTACTAGTCTCCACTAATTTGAAGAAACTATGTACTTTCTCCTCGAATGCATACGCGGAGTCATCGAATTCGAAGTCGATCAGCGCTTTCACAAGCTCCGACCACTCGTCTGCCAAATTGAAAGAAACATCAAATGAAAGACACATCACGAATGTGTCTTGTCTGAATGCTACCATAATACACAATAGCAATGTAATTATCGCTTCTTTAAACGTACCTCTACGTTTATCCGCGCAACTAACGATCTCGTAAAGCATGTGCATCAGGCCTAGATCCTCGAACATACTGCCTTCTTTCAAACTCAAAAGCTTCCTCTCTTGTTTTCTACGGTTCTTACTAGATCGGTAGCTTCTCCTGAGAAAGAGAAAGGTGCGATTAAGATTACGTCTTGTTTTGCTGTATTATAGCAAATATACGAAGTATATTTTGTACTAACCCAGATGCTGTAGACATCCGTGACCTTTGACTAACGGTGGAACATGCGACGCTGCTCGCATCGCTGAGGAAGTCCGTGACTTCTCCATTGGACGTCAATGTGTCGTGATATATGCTTTCGTTAGTCGTGACCATCTGTTTCGCACGGAGCTCAGCTCTTACCACGGCGAGGCGCGACTTATACTTAACAAAATCTTCCCGTGAGTTGTGCAGTTGTGTCAGCGAATATTCTGCGTGTTCTTTCACCCCGGGCTTGATATGTGTGTCTGCAAAAGCAAAGTAAAATTCATACGATTACTTTAGTGCATCGAAATCTTTTCAATCTTCGAAGAAATGTTAAGAATTTTCAATTAGTTACTTGAAACTTATATTAATTGAATATCAATGAAATGGATATTAATCGGTATCGATATATTGATATTCTCTCGCTAATCATAATAATAATCACTGACCAATCAAATCTAAACGCCGAACATCGTGCGCTACCCTTATCGCATGTTTCCAGCACCTTCCTTCGCACATCATCGCGACAGCTTCCTCGACGTCGTTTAAATAATACATTAATATTTCAGATGCTTCTTTATACTTTCGATCTATTTTCAAACCTTTCACTATCTGTCTGTAGAGCTCGTTTAAATCTGCACGACTAAAGAAATTGCTCTTGATTATTATGTAATATTGATTTTAGCGACAAATCTTGTGTATAAAAATCTAAGAATTATATCTCTACCTTAAATTCAGTTTCGTCGACAATATGATGCAGTCTTGCCAATTTCCAGCAAACATGTGCGCATTCAAAGCTTTCTCAAAATTTTCATTTCTGGAAAACATAGTGGCGGCTTCTGAATACAGTCTCTTACTCAACAAATACTCCCCGAAAATTTCAGCCACTCTCTTATACTCCGGGCTACTTCGCTCGAACAATTTTATCGCCGTGTCATATAACTCATGATCATGTATCAGACTTAAACATTCTACAAATTTGCCCGGTACTTTGGACAAATGTACAAGTGCGGATTTATACCGACGAAGGTGCATGTCGATGGAATACTTCATGTGATTTTCCTCAAGCTTACTCAAGTTCTTCAAGAACGGGATATATTCCTTAGGATCCATTTGCGATTTAGATGCTACGAACATCGCCAGTTCGCACTCGTACATGCCCAACGCGATGTCGTACAGAACATGTGTGTTCGCTGCAAACTGCAGGCATGTAAATGCATTTTCAACGACGTCTGAGTTCTCCGTTGCTTTGACCTCCTGGAATTTCTTGAGAGCAAGTTCTATTCCTGCACTTTGCTTATCCCTTGCGAAACTCAACAAAATCGGTTGTATCAGATCATTCGCATCGTCTCGTTTCTCCATAATGTCTCTTAATATCTTACAGATTCTATCAACTTTAGTCTCGATACTCTTTGACTCATTATTTTCCGGCATCGCGTTTGACTGTACGGAACGTCCCTGGTAAGAACTCGCGTATATCGTAGTGGTGACGTCTTCATCTACTAATTCCGTCAAAAAGCGACACAACCAACTTGATGATTTCTCGCTGTTTTCTATGAATTTCTCTGCATTGTCTATAAATAATTGCGGATTATGATCGTATATTAAATTCGGGCTTATGTGATGCTTTCTCACGAGGTCGATCGCTGTCCGATAGTCACAATTATCAAGATGAAAACCTACTATACGCAACAATAATGGTCTTGGCTCTATGCATTCCAGGTTGCCTCTGGGCATCTGCAAAATCGTCTTTGAGCCTTCCGGTATCGCTATAATTATATGAGAGCCCCTTTCAATTCGCCCGATACTAATATCTGCAACGATAGATCGCAAAGTCGCAACATTAGAAAACAAAAATATTCATGAAACGATGAAAAAAAAAAAAAAAAAAAAGAGTACAAAATCTTCACCTGTTAACAATGTCTTGTGGGCAATGTCTGTAAACAATGTCTTATTGGCAAGTTCCCAAGGTTTGACAGTTAAATCGTGTTTCTTCAGCTGCTCCATGCCACTTTCGTTCAACGGAATGCAAATCAGTGTATGTTGCAGTGTTGTGAGAAGCAAGAATGCAGAGTGTACGTAGAAACTCGTGATGTTATTAGCAACTTCCTTGCCGTCGATCAGAAGGCAATTCGAGTAAGACTGAGCGACAATAAAATTTTTTAAGCCAAACTTTACAGCTTCCACATGGCAACAAGGCTCTTTCCATCTTATACTCGTTGGAATCATACGGTCTTCGTCCTCTTCGTTTGCGTCCGTATTGTATATTAACACAGACTTGTTTGTTATCACGTAAGCTGAGCATGCATTAGAAGAAGGTATAATATGCTCTATCGGTTGATCCATTATATGAGTGTTTCCGGAAACATCTACTGCTAATCCTAAAGGCACTATGCGCAAGTGATCATAGGCGGCTATGGTCTTCACATACATCATTTTATATCTAGTAATCCACAAGAAGTGATGTAAATTATAAATATTGCAGTTTCCAGACAAGCATGTTTTACTGCATTGAAAGTTGTATTGCTGGAAGACTTTGTATGTTGTGGGCAAATTCTACAAAGTACCAGTAATTTATTTTTACATGTACATACTTCACGTGTAAATTTTGCACATTTAAGTTTACATTACCATCTCATTGTTGCACTTACCGGTTCTTGCTGGAAAAATATGAAATTATTATTACATGAAACAGCACAAAATACATTGCTGTTTATCCAATCTTGCTGTATGGGTTTTATATTTGGTGCGAAAATGATTGCATTTATTGGTTCTTCAAATTCCAAATATTGATGTGCCATCGGTGGTGGTATAATCTTTTCTCTGAAACTTGTTATTAATATTCTCTTTCCGTCAATGACACCGACTACGGCTTTGTCATTCACGGTATTACCTCTGCTGTGATTCACGCACCAATTGAAAGAGGTAACTATAATTTCATTCAGTGTTAAAAGAATCAATTCTTTCTTATTGTATCTTCCCGCAGAGCTCCACGTTGCATACATTAATGGATGCTCAGTACAAAAATTGATAGTCTGTTTGAGGTACCAATGATAGTTATTTTCAGTCCATAACTGTAATACAGTATTCTTTGTATCTGATTCCTTTGCATCTGGCTGCTCACAAACAATAGCCAGTATATCTGAATCCGGTGACCAAAACAAATCCTTCACCTGGAGAATTTGAATTTGAAAACAATGGTAATGATAGAAGATATTAGAAAAATTGTACTATTATATATATTTAATGTACCGTCGCTTCCTTTGCTTCAAAGGGAAGAGAAAATTCTCTGTGTCTAAGACCATTTTTCTCAAAAAGTGCAACAACAAGTTTGTTGATTAATTTTTGAGGTGCAGCAATTAGGTCTCCTGATGGTTTCCATGCTAAACATTCCTCTAAACCATTAGTTGGTTCACTGGTATATTGTAAATGACCCTGTCTGTTGAATACTTTAAATTGTCGAATTTTGGTTGAGGCATGTAGAAAACTGACAGCAAATAAAGAACCATCCCCTCGCCAAGTGATTCTAGGAAGACCATCATCTGATTCATTTGCATTTACTTGTTCTGGCTTGGCTTTAGCTGCTGCTTTACCTTCAGAACCATGAAACTGAGTATCCTTTTTGCCCCAACCAACAGTTATGAACTGTTTGTCTCCAAAGTCTGATGAATATAAATCTACCTATAATATAAAGTTGATAATATTATATATATTAATTACTACAAAGTATATAGATTTTTGTAAAATTTAAGATATTAGTAATCTTAGCTGAGACTTTACCTCTGATATTACTTGGAAATCTGATACCATAGTAATTATAGTTCCTGTACCTGTCACTGCTGTAATGATCTCATGATCTGGACTAAGTGTCATGCACTGTAGGCCATTGTCAAAAGTAGCTACTACTTCATATTCAAAATATTCAGAAAAATTTTCACTTGTCACATCTAATCTAGCGATATCACCATTGTCATACGCGCAATACAACTGTTGCGTTGTAATGCAATATTCAAATCCAACAATCTTGAGGTCTTTGCATTCGACAATATTTTGAACGTGAGATTTACGTTTGCTATCAGTTGGTAAAATATAGAGACGAGTGTCTAACAGAATATACAAATCTCCATTGTTTGTATTGATAGTACATTTCCAGGAGTATATGTTCAAAAGTGGATCGTCTCTCTTAATATGTTCAAAAAATGGAAAACTTTGACGGTATTGTCGATGAATAACTAAATTCTTCATGTTTCTGACAATATATCACGTATATTTGTCTACAATTCACGCATTTAACTTAAAAAAGCAGTTCCTTTATATTCCACACGATTTTTAGTGACGTGTACATATCACGTGCTTTCAATAACCTAAAAATATTATCGGTTCAGTTCAGTTCAACACTTAGGTGAGTAGACTTTGCAATTGAATGCCTCTACGCCATTACTCCGGATTAAGGGTCGTGGCACACAGAAAAACTTAAGGGACGTCTACATTGGAAGTAAACAGTAAGAAGTAGGAAGTAAGAATAAGAAATTGACCAATCATAGTTAATTATTCTTCTCACATTCGACTGTGGTTGGTCAATTTCTTATTCTTACTTCCTACTTCTTACTGCTTACTTCCAATGTAGACGTCCTTTAAAGCTGGTGGCACATAGAAAAACTTAAGCAGTAAGACATAAGCAGTAAGCGAATCAGCCAATCACAGTCGTTGATTCTTGGACCGTAAGAAGAATCAACGACTGTGATTGATCAATTTGCTTACTGCTTACGTCTTACTGCTTAAATTTTTCTGTGTGCCACGGTCCTAAAGCCCATTCTACAATTGCGTAAGCGTAGTCGTGAACGTAAGAGTCAACCAATCCGAATGTTTTATTCACTGATTGCTTTACTCTTTGTTTGGTTGTCGTAATCATTTACAACCACTTACATCCACGTTCACGCAATTGTAGAATGGGTTTTATGCTTCCGTCGTATATGTGCTCTATGCAATGGCCGCGTTTTCAAATGGTATATCCGACCCGTGCTAGAAAGCTAGAGATAATTGTAAACAGTTTTATGTTTTTAATATCAAAGGATAAAGCGTGAATGTCATTTTGAGTTGTATATCCCGCTTTATGCATTGTTGAAATTAGCTTTTCCGAATCTTCAGAATATAGAGACAATCAAATAGAATGTGTTGTAAATTTCTTAGTTCCGCTCCACAATCACATGTTTCTGCAGTAATAATTTCCTTCTCAACAAGATGTGTGCTAGTGCGTACGTGAAATGATCTCAGTCTAGCAATTAACGATATTACGTCTCGTTTAACAAATTTATATTCCCAAAACCATGGTCTAGTGGATAAATTGCTGATTCCTGAGCGATATCTTTTTTCTTTCCATGAAAATTGTTTGCTTAGTACTTTCTGAGCTAATTGGATAAATTCAAATTTTATATTTGAGATTAAATCCTCCACGTATATTATTTCTTGCTGAGAATTTAAGAAGCTCTGCGCCGCGGATTTGGCTAATTTATCCGCTATTTCATTTCCTTCAATACCCCTGTGAGCAGGGACCAGCGTGACGTAAAGCCTGTATCAGACTACCGACTGCACAGGCCGACCCGACAGCCGACTATGACTGCCGACTCTCAATGGATCAATTACAGTGAGGCGCCGACTCGACACCTCACTGTGATTGGTCCATTGAGAGTTGGCAGTCATAGTCGGCTGTCGGGTCGGCCTGTGCAGTCAGTAGTCTGATACGGGCTTTATGCCTTGATTTTTAGTGTTTTGTAAAAGCTCTAAAAAAAAAAATATTATTGTGACAAAAATATACTTTAGAGGTCTGTTCTTTTTCGAAGAACTTTTTATGGCTCCTGCACACAGGACGCGGTAATGCTTGCCGCGCGGCGGAAGTTCGCGCGACAGCTAATCAATATGTTGCTTTTCCGTAAGAGCTAGAAGATTATTACGAAAAGCAGCATATTAATTGGCTGTCACGCGAACTTCCGCCGCGCGGCAAGCATCCTGTGTGCAGGAGCCATTAAGTAGTACATTGGGATGCGTTCGGAAACGTCACCCGGGTGATGGGAGAATTCATTTTTAAATAAAAGAGCTCTTTCACTGGATAAAAAGGATAGATTCCTGAACTTACAAAAAAAGAATTTTTTCAATTACTAAAGGCTGCGTTCCGAAATTTACTGCTAATAGTGAAAATCTATAGTTCATGTCACATATAGGCCGGTATTCATAGTCGAATCTTATTTCAAGACCGTCTTAAGTAATAGAGAGTTTTTGCAATTCCGTATTTTAGATACGGTAAACTCTGAAGTTATGTGACTTCATACCGTATTCCGTTTTTACGTAGTCTATTTCAAAAGAGTTTTTGCGGTGAATACGATAACGTACGATAAAACAGTATTTTATAATAAGATGGAACCCAGTAAACATGCATATCTAAAAGATGTCGAAAAGATATCTAAAAGACGTCTTATGCAACAAAATGTTGCATAAGATATCTTTTAGATATCTTTTCGACATCTTTTAGACATGCATGTTTACTGGGAAGTTTATCATTCTCTTCATATGGGATATTTTGGGATATAATCTTCTTTAAAAGTATGAGATCATCTTGATTTGTGAATTTCAATCATTCAGATTTCATTTTGGTAACCATAACATCGACGTTACTCGTGAACGCTATTTTTCAGAAATAACGTTCGCACATTGTCTGAATAGCGTTAAGGTGACCAATGCGCATGCGCAGTTTGGTCTTTTGACTCGATGACGTCATTTTAGCATTTACCGTATCTATACCGTATGTTTGCAAAAACTCCCTAATGTCTTAGTCCCGAGCCATAATAGGTGTAGTAAGCTTTAAGCCTTAAGAAATTGACCAATCACAGTCGATTATTCTTCTCAAATTTGACTGTGTTTGGTCAATTTCTTAAGGCTTAAAGCTTACTACACTTATTGTAGATAGGGACTTACCTTTTGTCCACAACCTTGCTTTAATTTTTAAGCCGTAATAAATAAATGGATCAACCACAGTATATTATTTTAAAAATAATCAACTGCAGTTTGTCAATTTCTTACGACTTAAGAATTAAAGGAAGGTTGTGATCCGAATACGGTTTTGTGATTGGTTCATGACATCTTAAGACAGTAATTAAGATGATCTTAAATATAAGATCGGACTATGAATACCGGCCATACTATAGAATTTCAGTACTGGCAGTGAATTTAGGAACGCAGCCATAGTTAAGGCCGATTTATGAACCGTTAACTTATGCTGTAATCCATAAGAAATTGACCAATTGCAGTTGATTATTACAAGAATAGTCAACTGCAATTGGTCCATTTCTTATGGATTACAGCATAAGTTTACAGTTACGGCCATCATAAATCAGTCTTTAAAAGAAACTTGACTATAATAAGACAATTTCGTCGAATGCACCGATTGGCTATCGGATAGAAATTTCCTAGGGTATTCTAAGAAAATATTACGAATTTAGAAGTTCTCCATTCGATAACCAGTAGAATTTTAGCCCTAAATTAAGTATTGAAAATTAAACGGTTTTGACCAATTGGAACAAAACGAGCCAAGATCGAAATAAGCTAATTCGTGGAATTCCAATTCTAATTCGCAATTCTCAATATTTACTAATCGAACGAACTAATGGATCATGCCACAAATTTGATAATTTTACGTCTTCGCCCGTTAGGTCCCATCTAAATGATTTACGATAATAGCTGCGAAATTGCTTCGAATTGTCTCGTTTGGCGGTGCTTTCACAGCAGACAAGCGGACGAACGAACATCAGCGCCACCATCAGTGTGATAAGATGATTCGCGAGAAACAGTCGTTGTGAGGGTCATCGAGCAAGCGAGTGACCAGCCAACCGCAATCTGCGCGACACAGACATCGTACACGGGTGGAAATTAAATTAGCACTTCGACCGAGTATTCTCGCGAAGCACGTATCCGTAGGTCCACCAGCCGCTTCATCCGAGAGTCTGCTGCGGAGCTGGACTGTAGCGGTGATAGTGGTGGTGGTAGTGCAGCTGGTGCTAGTAGTGGTGGTGGTGGTAGTAGTGGTGGTGGTGGTGGTAGTGGTGGTGGTGGTAGTGGTGACGGCGACTGGGAGAGCGCGCGACGGTGGCGTTACCGTTTGGAAAATCGACGACGGCTCGAGGCTTCTAGAAGAACGCGGGGCGCCGTAGAGGCGGCCGGAGAACTGCTGGACGACTCGCTGTCGGAGAACCGCGGGACAACTCAATTGTAGTGCATTTCCGGAGAGAAATCGTACGTACCTTGGCAAGGAAGAGACACGGAGGCGCATTAGCCGCGCGGTGCTCGCGCGTTATATCGGGCGCCGCCAATCGCCGCTACGACGACTATAGAGAGAAAGAGATAGAGAACGAACGAGGCGAGAGAATGAAGGAGTGAGGAAGAAAGAGAGACAGAAGCAAGAAAGACGACGGCTGGAAGCGCAGCGAACCGTCGATCGTCGCGTGGTTCACGCTGTTTCTTTCGTTGTTTGCGCGGATATCAAACGTTACGCTGTCGGGAAAAGCCACAAGAACGATCCGCGATAACTTCGTGGCGTATCGCTCTTTCCGGCGAGATGCGGATCCGACACGAGATTTTCTTTCTCTTTCTCTCTATCTTTTCTCTCTCTCGATGAACCGTCCCGACACTTGGCAACGCGCATCGTGGATCCGCACACACATATGTACGCATACGCACGCTTACCTATCTATCTATTCGCTTCACCTACCTACACGCACGAGACTATGCACCACGGACGCCACACACGCACACCTGGGGAGAGATATATGTGTACATATACGTACGATATGCGCTCTCTCTCTCTCTCTTTCTCTCGCTGTCTCCTCCCCCTTCCTCTGCCTCACTCGGTGTGGCTCGGAGTTGTCAACGCTGTCAACTCGTAGCCGATCGTTCCGTTCATCAGTCGACGGGTGCTTCGTGTCGCGGGAAAAAAGATTATCGATCACCGCCTGGACGTTCGACACTCGTCAAGTTATCCATTCGAGTACGGTTCGTAATCACGGCGCGTTTTGTTTCGTGTAGAGGAACAGGGTGGGAACGAGCTTCTCCCGATGGTATACGGGATGCTAACGATGTTGCCGCGAGATGATTTTCTTATTAGCGCCTCGGCTCTCGTTCGCGGCTTTAACGTAAGATCAGCGGCGTGAAAGACTACTTCTGTTGGTTATTCAAAACGGATATTTGGATTGCAGTTCTAACGATACGCACAACCGCGTAATATTCTCCATTGTTGCATTGATCTTAGACTGAAATTTGTGTTGCAAATCGTAATTGAATCTTTTTTTGGGGATGCTGATTTAGGTCTGATTGATTTTTAGTAAAGACCAAACTGAAAAAAATGGAGAAAATTTGTTTTCTCACGATGATTCTCAAAATTTAGTTCAATTGGAAGACTGAGATATCTCAGAGTATATGGAACTTGACAGGTGAAAGAAGATGACAAGTGGTTATCTTTCAGTTACTCTTAGACAAATTCTCTTTTGATCTAAGAGTCCTTCATTAAATTATTTCATATAATTTTTGTGTCCATGTATAAAGATAATATTTTGTCTTTTTACAGAGATTTGCATAAACAATGGCAGCATTACCTAGGAGGATTATTAAAGAAACTCAAAGATTAATGCAAGAACCAGTTCCTGGTATTAGTGCTGTGCCGGACGATACAAATGCTAGGTATTTTCATGTAATAGTAACGGGACCTGAAGACTCGCCGTTTGAAGGTGGATTGTTTAAGCTCGAGTTGTTCCTACCTGAAGATTATCCAATGTCTGCTCCTAAAGTTAGATTCATTACAAAAATATATCATCCAAATATAGACAGGTAAAGACAAAAACTATTTGTCTGCTTTGATCATTCAACATACACAAGTTTTGTTCTCGTTGAGTTACCTTTAGCATTTGTTTTACGTCACTTAGTCGTAAAAATATATGTAGAGCCACTAACTGACATAGTTCCCTCCAACCAATTAATTATTAATTAGACTATAGATAACTATGAGAAGGAAACACTACTCGCGTACATTCACACACAATGCACGAATCAATTGAGATAAAAGCAAGATTAGCAAGCATGATTGATTGAGATAAAAGCAAGATTAGCAAGCATGATCGATTGAGTACAGCGGGTTACAAAATGGTTTAGACACAATAAAGTTAGTTTAAAAGTCGAGAGTCATTACAGATGGACTTATGAGCTACAATAATATAATTAAGAATACTAAATGATGACAAATAATAATAATACTGATAATATATTAATAATAATAATATAATTGCTGGGTTAACCTGTCAGTAATAACTTTCATTTTTGACAGTTAGATGAACTTCTAACTTCATTATGTTTAAACTGTTTTGCAAGCCACTGTGATTCAAATTCACTGACGCTTGAATGTACCTGCAGATTGGGCAGGATCTGCCTGGATATTCTAAAGGACAAGTGGAGCCCGGCTCTTCAAATCAGAACAGTCTTGCTATCCATACAGGCGCTCCTGAGCGCACCGAATCCCGACGATCCTTTGGCGAACGATGTAGCTGAACTTTGGAAGGTCAACGAAAGTGAAGCGATACGTAATGCCAAAGAATGGACTCGGAGATACGCTATGGACAACTGATCTCAGCCTTTACAGATCGCCTACGTCGCGAAGCGTCGTTATTCCTACCTGTCCCAGACTTCTAATCACCTTACCCGCACCAACTGCGTATCCCGCACCTGTGTCCACAATTTTGCTATAAAAATAATAAAATTTTTGTAAGAGCAAAACAGAATGGATATTTTCTATATGGGGAGTACACAAAGCACCGTTGGATTTTATTCAACCGCTCATTGAGAAACTTCGAAGAATGTTAGTGGAAGGACGCGACATATACATACATATATATGTATATATATGTATATGTATCGAATTATATTACAATTTAAGTTCCAAGTTACATTAAGAGAAGTTATTGTGTGACGTACGATTCGTTTAACGTATTGCTACGGAATCTTTCGTGCAATTTATAATTTATACTTTTTTCTATTTCTATAGTGTATTGTCTCTATAATAGTGGATTTGAACGGCTTGAATGGCTTATACGTTCCGAGATAAACTTTTTTTGTTCGATAAGAATAATTTCATATATATATGTATATATATATGTATGTATATGTATATATATGTATGTATATATATGTATATATGTGTATGTATATATATATATACACCAACTGGTTGTCATCTGTCCGATACATCGTAGACTTAAGTATTCTTGCATATTTTAGAATAGAGAATGGATATAAGAGAGCGATCGTTATAAAGAAATTACATCGGAAATAACTGTTATTTATCACAGATATCTTATAGATAATATATTAAAAGAAAAAAAGAAGTTATAAAAAAAAAACTCGCAATCTGTGTAAACTTAAGCGTCTTCTAACGTATACAGTTGTTTTTTCGCAAGATGTAGGATACTATTATGAGAATTTCATTTTCAATGTATAATAATGGATAATAAGAAGCATTCGAATAATTGGTTTTGCTCATAAAGTGCATTGTAAGTGAATACGAATCTTCCATTATTATGTTAATGATAATTGCCAAACAATTACTTAATGTGTAAATACAAATAAGAGAGAAAAAGAGAATAGAACAATTCTTTATTGCTTCTCGCAATAAATGAGTTCTATTAAGAGATACGAGAGTACATGTAATAATAAATTTCCGTGTAAGAAAAATCGAGCCTGCTATATACATACATACATACATACATACATACATATATATATATATATATATATATATATATATATATATATATATATATATATATATATGTTTATATATATATATATATAAACTATAGTTTCATGACTATTATTTACATATATAGAGCACCCTCCCCCGTGTGTGAAATATGTAGCAACCTATTTAAATATAAATATTTTCCATGTGAGATCAAATTAATAATCGCCACACAGGAGAATCGAACAAGCGAAAAGTAGCTAAATTTACAGATATCGTATGTTGTATAATTAAATATAGAGGAAGATAATAGAGACGAATCTCAGCGATAAAACGGCATACCACAGGAAATACATATATCGATGACAGAAATGTTTAATATATTCTCATCACGGGGGCATTGGCTTGATGAACTATGCGAGAATAATAATGTCAATGCAACACGGATAACGAGATCAAGTGAAAGAGAGAGAAAGAGAAAGACACATACAACCAGTTAGTATATAAAAAAAAGCGAAGATGTTATGAGTCACCTTTGAATATAATTATTACGACAGTTCGGAAAGTTCTGTAATTCAAGGACACTGGGATCGGTTTAAACAATTGTAGATAATCTGCAATAATAAAGAGATTATTATTAAGAGTTTGGGACATACAGAGTAATTATTCTATTGTACGCACACGTTATGTATCTCGTATCGGTACAGAAAAAATTGTCCGAGAACTATTGCGAAGCGATTAACGCGTATAAACTCTGCTCCGATAATAAATTAAGACCCTGAAAAAGTTCCTTTCTTTTCATATTCGCCTTGGTTGTACGATTGCACGTTCCATTGCAAAACTTTAACATGCAATATCCAAATGTATGTGTTATCGATTTAAAATAAATAAAATTTCATTTAACGTCGTCGAGTTTGTGTTTGAAATGCGAAGGTCGATAATGTGTAACAGTAAAGTATTAATAAATAAAATAACTAATATCGATTTCCGTTACGCGGCATAACATACGTGCAGGTTTCCATTCCATTATCTTTCAAAGAAAAAAAGAAACGCACTATGACGTCCTTATCAACATTGATTGATTCAGTATCAAAAAGAACGAAAAAGGTTATTGAGAGAGCTTTTCCAAGAAAAAACTTGTCGGCACTTTTATTCTCATTTTACGTTATTAATAGTACAGATAATTTTAGTCTGCTTTTATCGGCGCCACACGTGATGTGTATACTTTGCTTCGCATGTCACACGGAACATTTTGAAGAAATGAGGCCTTTTGAAAAAAAGGAAAGAAAAGAGAAAGAGCTATATCCGTCGGACGTGATTGTCGCGCGTACTTCCCAAAAGAGAAAACTGCGTTTGAATTCAAAATTACATTTTATTGTATCTTAGTATGGACTAGCATATACCATATACACATTCAATAGCTCACTTATAATTTATAACTTATTATACATTCACAAACATTGATAAAGACAGTCATGATATCTTGTAGCATGTCTCATGACTGGTGAAGCTACAGCGCAAGCTCTATATATGTGTAAGATATAATTATTTTTATTTTTTATGAATGTGAGGTGTTTGTGTGTGTGTTTGTGTACGCGCACGTGCACACACGCGTGCGTGTGTGTGTGTGCGCGCGCGAATGTCCGTATGGTTGAGTCTCGATTATTTCATAACGATTCTGACTGTAATTTTGAGTCTATCATTCATACTGACTTTGCACGATCATCATTCCTTATTTTATTATAAGGTTTAATACATATATATATATATATATATATATATATATATATATATAATTTTATTAACCAAATACATTCTACAAATTAGATATAATTCGTATTGCCTTTGTGGAAAGGTGAACGTGATACAAATATCTTACAACGTTTCGAAATAACAAATCGATGAAACTTTCTCGATTTAATAACTACGTGCTCATTTAGATTCGAACGAAACGAGAGATCTCCTCTCTCCTTCTTATCGTGTCAGTTCGCGTAACTTATCCATAATAATCGTAGAAAAGCTAGAAAAGAGATTTCTATGGGAAAAAGTTTGCACGAAGAATATCGACAGAATATCAGAACGAATAATTCAAAAAATCTAATGTGCATTTATTAATTAATATACTCATAATTATACCTCAAAAAGCCACACTTCAGTAATAGTTCATTGTCTCCCTTCAAATTATTCGAAATGAGAAAGTCTACTCAGAATCATCCGGGACAATGAATGACGTTTTGCGTAACAATGGCGACTTAACAGTGTTATTACACTTCGCTCTGAACGAACACACAAATAATGACCACGCAAGGCCAGATTGACAGTACAAGTTGCAGATGTTATTATTTAAAATGTGGCTAGACACATTCAGTCAGGGTGGCTTGCGATGGCTGAGAGTATCAACTTACTTTTGTGTATATATATACTTTATATATATATATATATATATATATATATATATATATATATATATATATATATACATACATGTATATGTATATATATTCATCTTATATTCTTAGCGTAATGACTAGATAAGTTTCAGCCACCCAATATATAACATCTTGTTTGATCCCATATATTATATTCATACCGCTCTGTTGCTCGCCGAATATATGGTTAAAATTTCTATGCCAAAATTCATCGCCCTATAACGTTATGTAATCCATGATCTAACACCTAGATCCTGGTGTATGACTCCAGCGAAGGATAATACTTTCTGCGCATATTCACTTAGATACAATTTTTGTCTATGAAGAACGCAGGTCTAGTCGCCCACCACGATGATATATCCGGTTTTTTCCCCCATGATATGCAATATCGTAATATGCTGCTCCGCTCTCTATATCTTTGTTTCTTTCTTTCTCTGTCTCTCTCTCTCTCTCTCTCTCTCTCTCTCTCTCTCTCTCTCTCTCTC